CCCATGAGAATTTTGATGAACTCTATGGACTAAACCCTCCGGTTTATATACACACCAGAGGGGTCTAGGGTTGTACAGAGTCAGTTTGTGAGGGAAGGAAATAACATATCCGGACACCAAGCTTGCCTTCCACGCATATAGGAGTCCTACCCGAACACGGGGGAAAGTATTTTGCTTGTATCTTCTCGGCCCATCAGTCCGGCCCATATCAAATAGCCCGGACACCTGAGGACCCCCTAATCCAGGACTCCCTCAGTGGTCTCGCTAGGGATAACTGCTACAACGCCCACTTCTATGTTGCAGAGTAAGCCATTACCGACCCCACAACCGCCTATGGCGTGATTGCTGCTAATTTGAGAAAAATAATTAAGCCTCCTTTGGTTCATAGGATATATGAATATCATAGAATTAGAAAAATCATATGAAGTGAGATGGCATGCATCCTAATTTCTATAGGAAAAGAGATGTCACTTGATTCATAGGATAAGATTTTTTTCATTGAGTTTATGCATCTTAATTTCTACACTAGGATTGATTTTTCATCCTACATAAAAATAGGAGTCCATTCCTACAAATCAAAGGGCTTGAAAAGAATTCTTACAAAATCCCTATCTTTTAGAATTTCTATAAAATTTCTTCAAACCAAAGGAGGTCTTAGAGGATATACATTTTTTTTGAACAGAACCACATGGATTCAACTTAAACCTGGACCGCCAAATCGGCGTCCACCATGACAGATACAAAGTCTGGGGCGTCGTACACCCACACAGAGGGCGGGTTAGCCGATCCCACTCCAAATTGCGCCAGACTATGCGCAACCTTATTACAGACTCGATTACAGAACATGAACTCACAAGATTGAAAGGATGCATGGCATTGGCTCCTCGCTTCTCTGTAGAGCACCCCCAGGTCCGAAGCATCATGTTCCCGGCCCTTCAGAGCATTCACCAGAGTTAGACAGTCGGATTAAAAAATGACACGTTGAGCCCCTAGATCAGACGCGCCCTCAATCGCTTTCAGGCATGCGTTGGCCTCCGCCTGAAGAGGGCTTCGGACATGCTCGAGCCTACCAGCAGCGGCCGCCAGAAACTGTCCTGTTTCGTCCCTTGCAATGAAGCCACATGCTCCTGCGTGTCTGTCTTCCTTATAAGCTGCATCAAAGTTCAGCTTAACTGTACCAGACGGCGGAGGACTCCACCTAGGCATGGGTACAGGCGTTGGTGGACTCTGAATGTTACACCTGCAGAAGTCAAGCAGGTGTCTGCTGATGAAGCCACTCACCTCGTCATCTATTTTTTGCTTCTAGCCAGCATTCACTTTATTTCGGGATGTCCACCAATCCCACAACAGTACAGCCACACGCAGCAGGTTCTCTCGTGGCAGGGTGAAGATCTTCTCAAACATGGCATGTGGATCCTGACACTCACAGAGCTGCAGCCGGACATCTTCCAACTGTTGCTCACGCCACACAGCCTTTACTTTTTTGCACTTAAGGAACAAGTGGCACCCATCTTCATTTAGTCGCCCACACATAGGGCATAAGGTGTCTAGCTCAATGTGTTTCCTTTTGATGTTCATCCTTGTTGGAAGGCTATTGTGTGCCAACCGCCAAAGGAACATGCGAACTTTCCCAGGCAGTTCTAGCTTCCAGATGTGCTGCCAATTTCCCATCACATGTCCCTGCCCGCTTGAGGATTCAGCGTCCTGTTGGCCCCTAGCTTCCTTCAGGCTCACACCCAGCTGGTAGGCATATTTTACAGAGAAAATTCCCTTCCTGTCATAGTGCCACGCAGGGAAATCTTCCATGTCCGGTCGCACAGGGATTGCAAGGATGATCTGAGCATCCTCCTCGATGAAAAGCTCCTTCACCAACTCTTCGTCCCAACCTTCAGTAACAGGGTTTAGCAGTTCATTCACTGTGGTAACAATCGACTGGCCTTGCCGCATTACTGGCCTCCTGGTGGTGCCCCTCGGCAGCCACGGATCCTTCGAGATATTCACTTGCGTACCATCCCCTATGCTAGAGGATATACAGTTGGATAGCCTACATCCGCTGGCTGTCCATGAACAAATGGTTATCGTCGGGATTAGAGAGAATTCCTTATTTAACACTGTCTTAAATTTTCTTTCCTTATTTGACACTAAAAAAAAATTCTTCCTTATCTAACACAAACTTTAAATTTTGTTCCCAATATAACACTTCTATTCATTTTTTGTGCAAATGGTGTTAAATGGCACAGGAAATGACAATTATGCCCTTGAACATCTATTTGGTCCTTTTCTTTGTTCTGGTGTCTTATACGGGTGGGGTCCACAGTTAGTATAACAAAATAAGCAGACTACTAACAAGTAGCGCAAGTAAGGATCGGGTACGTACGAGTACATACACGGCTAGCTGGCTAGGGACGAGCATTAATCCAGCTGCTTGTGTGTTTGTGAGCTAGCTTTCTCCTGTTGTACGCTAGGGTGTTGGTAATTTCGTGTTTCCTCTGCCAAACCGTCATATTTGGTGCTCCAAAACTCCAATCCCATGAAAATCTTTTGCTTTTCTCTGTCGCCATCTTCTCCGGCGCACTGCACCGTCGAACTGCTTGATGCACGCCGGCCGAGCAGCAGGTGTTAGAGTGGGACTGCATGGTGTGGCATCAAGCAAGCTTTGCATGTTGTGCGTTCTTCCTAATCAATCTGCTTCGCGTACGTATCGTTCATCCATTGACTGTGTGGCTTCGTCCTAAATGGACGCCATGGCGTTTGCGCCCGGCCAGCCGGAGATGGATAAAATTGGAGTAATTTCAGTTAAATTCATAATTTAAGATGCTACAGTTACCATAAAAGGCAGACCATTGTGAAGGGTGATTTTACCACTGTCTAGAGTTGACTTGGATGGTTACTATAGACGGGCAGGTGCCTGAAGTAGTGTACAACCCTTAGGTGCTTCTAGCGCCAGGGGTAAACTTGTCATTTCACGTGTCATTTAACACCATTAGGTCGAAAATTGGACGAAAGTGTTATATTGGGAACAAAATTTTAAGTTGGTGTTAGATAGGAAAACAATATTTTTCAGTGTCAAATAGGGAAACTAAATTTAAAACAGTGTTAAACAAGGAATTCTTTCTTGGGATTAACCCGCATTAATCTTGGCCGTTGAATAACAGACTCCGCCCTGCACTCCCTCCATTCGTGACATCACCAAGCAAATGCCACATGACCCCGATGCTGCCCCTGTATTCCCGCCTCACACGCTCCAGCTCACGGTGACATGCGGACCCACACCCCGACCCCACCAGCCATAGACACTGTCTTCCACGCCCAGCCCAGACCGTCGCAGGACAAGGAAAAAAGCGAGGAAAATTTTACGCGAGCGGCGAGCCCATCGTTCCTTTCACCGTCTCTCCCCACCTTTCCCTCCCTCCCAGATCTCCCCACCCGCCTCTCCCTCGCTCCCCACCCCGCG